CACGTCACTTTCAAGGGTGGTGGAGTCCTGAGATCCGTGAGAGCCAGGGTCCTTGCAATTTAAACTGCGAAGTTTCCAGATGACCACCGGTGTGGCTGCAGGTTCACACAGCAGCGTGGGGAGGCTTACCGTTCAAGGCTGGGGAGAGGGAGCTTATCAAAAATCCTCGCCGTGCCCTACTTCACGGAGGAGTCACCCCTCCAGGAATACTGCACATTTAGGTCTTCTAAATGAGCAAACTTGACTTTAATACGTGGTACTCTTCGACCTGAATTCAATCCTCCGGTTACAAAGAGATATGACAAAGGATATGAATTTTACATGACCTGAGGGTCCTTTCACCCAGCTCCACGTTGGGCTGTGGACATTACCTGTCACTTTTTATTCCTTCGAGTCAATCCAGGCCTGATGACCTGGTAAATTCTTAAGAATGTCCTTCGACTAAGCGGAGTGTCCGCTCGCTCCTTCCTGAGCATCAGTATCACCACGTTCCTAAGGCCTTGCAGTTGGTGGTACCTTGCATTGTTCTGATCGCGTCATTAGCCTCATCCGGGCCAGAGACCGGAAGAGATGATTCCACTCGTTCAGTTTAGACGTACCTGTTGTAATCACAAGGGGAGATTGACAGAGCAAAGAAGGCAACTCATATTTCTTAAAGTGCTAGTGTGCGTGCTGGGGTCTGGGCTGGGAGCTTCACACACATTATGCTGCTAATACTCTCGACCCTGGAGAAGGGCCACTATCTTGCCCATTTTACAGATGTAGAAACCAAGTTTCCAGGAGTACGTAGAACTTACCCAAGTTCACCCAGCTAGAGAATTGCACAAGTCACCCAATGTTTGTTTCCACTTCATATCACCTTCCAACACCAAATGCTGGCCATCAGTGAGGACTTTCCTGCCCGTGAATTAAATGATGTATGCTAACACCCAACTGAGAAATCTGCTCGGTGCTAAGAGAAAAGACAAAATGCCCAGACTAGCTTCTGACCTCCAACTGACTGGCCAATATTTTTTAGCTGCAGAAATAGCACCTCTGTCTTCCTGAAGGAGTAACTCACTCTGAGCTGGTGGAGGCAGGCTCCCCCACATGTGTCCTCAGCTTCGGCAGGCTGCTCTGGGTGCCTGTACCTTCTGCAACTTTGTAGGTGGGGTCTCTCCCTGGCACCCAGGGCCCTGGATCTCTCATTCCTGTTCTCAGAAGAGAAAGGGACCTATGTAATTAATAACCATTCTCTATGCAACATCAGTTAATGTCTTGTCTCTCAGTGATATTTGCTTCACAAGTGTCTCTCTGTGGGGGAGAAAAGGTTGTGTGTTTTTTGTTTTTGTTTTGTTTGTTTTGTTTTATCAAGTGTAAGAATTAGCAAGAGGAAGTTGCAAGAGTTTAGCATCAGGATCCTGAAAACCACCTCCACCCCTGGCAATGATGTCACTTGGTCTCTTGTACATGCTACACCAGACCACCCCCATTCTCTCAAACACCTTAGACAAAATAATACAGACCCAGATTATTTATTCTCTCGTTGAAAAATCTGAAACACTTTGAAAACCAAAAGGTTTTTGTTGTTATTCAGTTCAACATAAATGCAATTGGTAGGAAAACCTGACCTGAAAGAATCTGAATGATTTCATGCTCCTCAGCTGTATCATTTCGTGCAAATATTCATATTTTTGCTGCAGAAGTAATGCATGTGATTGCCGTGCTTGTTGAGACCCTCCGGGGTGTTACATAATACCGATTTCCTGATGTCCACAGCACATGGGCCCTGGCTTTTCAGATGAGCGTGGGCGGGCTGATTTGACAAGCACAGTGGCGGTCCAAGTCATCGCTGTGTGAATGTTAAAATTCAGAGACCACACTGAACCAATAAGTCACAAGACAATGTTAAAGGGCCACAAAGCTTTGTACTAGAGAACAGCTATGAAACTCCCCCAATCTTAAGGCCCTCGCTCTCTGGGTGTGAACCTGCAGACCCAGAGGCAGGTATTCAGGTCTGAAAGGAGCTGATGCTTCAGGAAGACCCCAAATTACAGCGAGCTGCTGGGGGAGGTGATGACACCTTCTCGGGGCAGCATGACAGCAATGTCCCCTCGCTGATGCTGGAGGTTGAGACAATAGAGAGGAATGCTCGCAGACCAGGAACAGGAAGTCGAGACATTCCTTTTCTCAGTTTAAGAGTTAGACTAGTTCCTGTCCTACAATGGCTCAGTCCCTCAGAGCACCCGCCTCATGAGGATACACATGGAGAGCGGAGAGAGAGGGGTCATCTCATCCTAACATTCCACAGGCAGGTAAAATGATGGTTACTAATAAGGTGATGCTGGCTTCCAAGTATCTCACTCCTCTCCTTATTTGTTCTTGCCTTCCTGTGAAGGTGTTTTGTTTTTGTTTTTGTTTTTTTTTGCCAAGAAGACCATAATGACATCATCCATGGTAAAAGTGTCTTCTACTCCCATGAGCAAACACATCCCCACCCAGCGTGGGGGTATTTTCCGCAATGGGAAAATCTCAGATCTATCAGGCCCCTAGCCAACAGGGGCTTAACAGTTCACCACCATCGTTCTTTCAGTTCCACTGATTTAAAATAGTGCTGTTTCCCCCCAGACACCAGGTGCTATCCTGGAAGGAAGCAGGTATCAGGTGTGTGACTAACCACTGGCTACCCCCACCTTAACAGGGACTTCTGATATTTGTACAGTTCATCTCCCAAGGGCAGGCCTCTCTCTCTCTCAAGTTCAGTACAATGATAACCATTTTGCTCAGATGAAGGCTGGTGGCCTCATGGCTTAGCATCTACATGAAAATGGAAGATTCAATAAGTTCATAGAACTTTTCAAGTACACACCTGGTCTTCATTAGTCCGCTATTTAGTTGGGTATAGGCAAATGTTACTTACCAATGGCTGCCACTTACTCACATGCTACAATATGCAAAGTATGAAATTGTCCTAGTTCCTCTTCAGAGTAGCTCTACAGGATATACACTCTGATCTCTATTTTGCAGAAAAGAAAACTGCGGGTGAGAATGGGGATGGGGCACAAGGGGAAGTATGTTCCTGAGTGCCAGTTGGCATACTACACGGGTACTAGGCTTTGCAAATCCTCTCATAGCAGCAATAGCTTGTTGGGAGGAAGGGCATAGATGATGCTATTGCTCATTGACTCCACTTACCCTCACTACATGATTAAAGTTTTGATATTCTATCAAAGTCATATGGCTTTTTAGTTCAAGAGCTGAGATATAATATAGATCTATTTGAAAGCTCCAGTTTAAATTAAATAACCATCTACTAGGCACATAAGAGCAGTCTTATGATCTAACTACAAAGAACAGCTTACTCTGGGTTGCAGAGAAAGAGGGGTATTATTGTCAGATAGCACCTAGAATAGAAGGTAGGAGTCCTTACTTCAAATGATGACTCTGACTCAAACTCTGTAACTAATGGAAGCTCATCTTTAATCTCTTCTGGAGAATGAATATTTTGACCAGGTTCTCTCCATGGGGTGATATTCAGCACAAAGTCTATGACAGAGCTAACATCTTTCTGCCCAAAGAAGAGGAAGATTGGTTAAGCAGATGCACAGGCCATATTTGAGGCTGTAACTTTACCTCTAGACCTCAACACTGAGCCCATTCATCCTGAAAGATGGCCCCATAGCTTTCCTCTGCACTCAAGCAGGTAAGGGCTGGCCACCCAACTTAACAACATGCTTCCTTATGGTCCCAGGGAGTAGGAAGTCTGTATACAAACACTAAAGACAATGGTATAAATTGATCTCTACTGAGGTCACTTGGTACAATCAGTCTGCTCAGAGTGACTCTAAAAGCCAGGCTCGAGTAATCCCTTAATGGCTCCATCTGCTAAGCAATGATCTCAGCCTGTAGGGGGAGAGACCCTCCAGCCTCCCACAGAAAACTGGCTTATTCCTCATAAGACAATAGAGTTGAACTAATTCTGTGAGCTTGAAATGTTAACATAACTTCCTCTGCATACCAAGGGTTTGGAATATCAAGAGGACCAGTGGATCATTTTAATCATATTCCTCTCCAACTATTCTTACTATGTTAGGACATGAGTAATGAGTTATCTGAAAGAAATTCAAGAAACAGAATCTGGTAGACTCTAATGAGGATTTCCTATAAATCTCAACTAATGCATTTCTGATTCAGACCTGACACATGTCCATTCTGGATTTCCACTTCTCCTGGACAATGTCTACAACTAATAGCTTTGGAAAGTTCAATGGATCTGTGGTCTAGGAAAGACGGGGGTGGGGCGGGGAGGGGAATCCCTAGGGAGAAAATAATAAAGATCTATTTCAAGACCTAGATTTTTTTCTCACCACCTCTCTACCACCATTATAGTATGGCTGGGAAGGAAGTCTCATCACTTTTTAGTTAGAGAATATAATGGTCAAAACCCAGGAGATTTGTTCAGTTAGGGCTCCAAAAATCCACTTTATTTTTAAGAGACTGGAGTGTCTAGTGGAAGTCTACAGGAGTGGATTTGGGTCCAGGCATGGCTATTTAATAGATGCGTGAGTAAATAAATTAACTTGATTATCTGAGCCTTAGTTTCCCCTTCTGTGAAGTAGGCACAATCTTACTTTGCAGAACTCAACAGAGAAAATATAGGGAAGGTTTAATCTATACTTCCTGCAACTCTTAGCTAACTCATTTCTAATCCAGACTTGACAAGTGTTCATTCTGAAAACCCACAGTGCATCTGAGAGAGGACAAATATTGAATATTTGATACATGCCAATTACCCATAAATCCACGTGCATTGATTTATTGTAGCTTAAATTTTATGTTTGAGCTTATAGTAGCTAAGTAGAAGAGGCAGACTTGAAAAATGGGATTGAGTTGGGAACATAATAAGTGCTCGATAGATATACTTATTTAACAAGTGCATGAATGAGCAGAAGACATATTAATGGACTTGTGTCTTATCTTCTGTTGTGCTGGGAAGAAACACACACACCAACCCTCCTTTGATGATGTCCACTGAGCAAATGCAGCCACTGGATCTCTCGGAAGACAGACTGGACAAGCTCGACCCTCGCTGCAGCCACTTGGGTAAGTGCTCCCGCAGGAATGTCAGTTGCAGAAGTCAGCAGGAAGGGTCTCTGCCATTTAGTTTGCAGGCAAGTCAGAGGGAGGCCCCCTAAAACCTGATCGTTTGTGCCTTCTGGTGACAGCCAACCCAGATGGACAGACAAATAGCCAGGGTTCGTGGGGCCTGCCATGTAAATATTAGCTGAAGCACTGGAGAGAAGTTCATTGTAGCTCTAACAAAAAAAAGGAGAGAAGAGGCATTGTTATCTTTTTTGGGGTCTGAAAGGGTTCCAGGCAGAGCATTTCGAGGCAATAGATGGAAAGTGGCAGTGCAGCTCATTCCCAGTATTCCCTGGCACACGCACACCCCATGTGGGGTGCCAATAAAATATTTCAAATATCTCCCTTTGCCTATCCAGACAGCATTCTAAATAGCCCCGTTCTGCTTTATTGTCAATCTGTTTCCTTTCCAGAACTGACTTTTCGCATAACCTTTGTAATGAAAATACCAGAAACATTTCTGCCTCTACCCATTTCTAAAAATGAGACACTCAGACTTTGATGGATGGACCTTTTGCATATTCATAGCCTTCGTTTATGCCTCGCCTGGTTATGGCTCCCCTCACCCCCCACCCTTTCCCCGTTTGCCATCAAGATATTTTATGTTCCAGAATTCTCCAAAAATGGGGAAATGCGCAATTGAAGTAAAAGTCAAAGTTGAAGCAAATGTCTTGGTTTGTGTACTATGGACCGAGTCATATCCTGGGGTTGAATAGTGACCCCATGACTAGTCTGTGTCCTGTCTGTACCTCCAGAGATCCCAAAGCTGGGTAGCACCCATTCTGAACAACATTCATTCATTCATTCATTCATTCAACAAATGTCTATGGTATGTATAAAGTGGGGGGCGGGCGGGGAATTAACTGTGCCATGTGGTAACAAATCTTTAAAATTGCATTTTCAACCAGGCATTAAGATTCATAGTCCCAAGAGCCTGGATTTAATCCTGATGCCTTTACCCACCAACAATGTAACCTGTAATCTTTTATTCGGCCTTCTAAACCTTGGTTTCCTCATCTGTGAATATTTAACAACTGGTAAACACAGGCATTGACGAATCAGAAAAGGTGTTGGTCCATCCCATGCACTAGAATGATTTGAACTCCCCTCCTTTTGTTGGTGTATGTAAAGTTAAGAGTATATAGTCTGTGCCATACACATAGTAGTATCTCCATTAATATTTATTAAATTGAAATGATAGGAATTAAATCTTTTAGGTGAAAGGAAATGGTTATTACTATTAAATTGTCTGAAGAGAATGATGCTATTTGATTTTTTGGTTATATATTGTGATCTTTTGATGATGTATGCTTATTAAATATTTCTGGTGATAGGTTCCTCCTGTATATTGAGTTTTCTGAAACAAAGGATCATCCATATATAAAGCCTAATAGACCAGAAGCAGCTTGATATCAAGGACCATTTCGTACTTGTTGTTTTAATCCTAGAGTCTAGCTCAAGGACTGGCATACAATAGAAGCTTAATCAACATTTGTTGAATAAATAAGTGAATAATGACACACGTTATGTCTAAATCCACAAAACTGAAATGGAAAGGTTTGATATATTTAATCTTCAATGTTTGAAAGAATTGACCTGAATGTTTTCATAAACAGGAAGAAT